AGACGAAGTCGATCTCAAAAGTGCACTATATATTTCGAACAATTTAGTCACACATACTTGTCAGGGCATTTTATGTGAACATTAATATAGGTCAATTAAATGGAAATTCAAGTGAACAAAGTAATAAAGAGGGAGAAAAAAATTAACATCGCATAGAAAAAATAGAAAATTGTCGCATTACCCTGGACCATGAAATGACTTAAGGATTACCAATGTAAATTCAAGGTTACGAAAATTTGTTTTTGTATACATAAGAGGGGTTTAAATTTATGTAAAGCCAAGGCTTCTATAAACCTGAGGATTCGTCCTTGACAAATTCTATACGTTTTAAAAGCTGCATTAATGTCAATATTGTGTCCCGTTTCAATTATGTGTTTTGCTATCGAAGAACATGGTTTTCTACTGTCTACGTTATTGGGACACATTTGGCATTAACTGGTTTTGAAGCCATCTAGATATATGTCCCATTACCCTTGATTACATTGTTAGATTACTCCTCTCTATGTATGTGTATCAAACACAAACATGTAAATTAATAAATGCAATGGGATGTGATGTAGTCATTCCTAGACCATATTATCCGGAATGTATAGTGCAAAAATGTCACTTTTTTTCACATCAACTCTGTCTTCTCATTACTCCATCATTATTTCTACAATTCAGAAATATGAAGAAAATGTTGTGAGATTTTATTATGTGATTGTGATTTAGTTATCCTCTCACTTGAAAAAGTGGTTTACATCAAAATGATAGAAAGGTGACAATGAAATTTCTGATAGTAATAATTAGAATGTTTATAAACATGAGAAAGGGTTTTTTGTGGATATTATAGTAATTTTAATAGTTGAGATCATTAGTCAATTGAAACTAGACCACAATAGAATGAAACGGCCATCCAGTACTTCCAGGTTTTTCATGGTGGTCTAGTTTCAATTGACTTATGATTTCAACTATTAAAAATAATATTTATGTTGAACAAATTGGTGTAAGAATAAATATGTTTATTATCGTAAAATCAGTTGTCAATATGTCATTAATTAAGAAAATAATTAACATTTTCAAACTTACGAATTAGAGTTGTGTAAAAATTTCGTCGAAATTCAATCATCGTTTCTGATTGATGACTTTATTCTGACCATTAAGAGCTGATGTATGACGGTACATCATCCATATGTCTTTGAACTAATAAAACTGTAATTTGTATAATTGTTACATTATAGGTACCGTAAATAAATGTAATAATTAAGAATTTTGGATAGAAATTACCATGAAAAGGTTAATGTAATAGATTTCAATAAATTTTACTAAAGTAACTAAGCAATTAGATGCAATTATAAATGTTACAGTCAAGGAAACAATTAAAAAAGATAAACTAATTATCTTGTCAATTGTTTTAATAATATAATTTTGATTACATTAATTAATTCATACATGTGAATACTGGTGACTAGTTTCGAGAGTTAACTCCAGAAGTCTTTGTGGGAAACTATGAAATGCAAATTTCAGCCATATCGAGTGTGAGACATTGATGAGATAGAAGACAGAGAAAGTAGATGTGCAAGATTGTCATATTTTGAAGTGAAACATCTAAATAATTAGATGTCGGCCTAATTGTTAAAAATTAAGCTCTTGACATTAGAGATGAAAGTCCTGGGTTCAATTCTTGGAAAGATTATTAATGCGTATTGCTGATGAGTCCCCTATTAAGAGAATACAGCTATTGACTTTTTTCCTGATTTACAATAATTTTTCTACCTTCGACTGTTTCATGATTTCAATGATAATCTAATGGTAAGTTTAATGTCTTTATTTGGTCATAAAGGAACCTATTCCGCAACGCAATCTCTTTCAAAGAGAAAAATGTATACTGTAAGAACCTAATTAGTCGTTGTATGAAACTTGAGAGGTAAATCCTTGATACTGTCATATGTTAAACATTAAAAAGGACGGTTAACCTCTTACGAAATCTGACTACATAATTATCCAATTAACCAAATGGTTATTGAAGGAGGGAACTAATGAAAAAAAAAAGAAAATTTAATCATAAGGGCAAACAGATTAACTGTAAGTCTCCTCTTACCCCCCGCTTCCAGTCTAGTTGACCTTTTGATCTTCATATATAAATGTTCTTAACAAGTATATGTGCAATCAGATTGTTCGAAATGTATTGCGCTAATATATCACATAGTTCATTTATTATTAGTTTCAATTTTATTCAAAGACGTTTATTTCAAAATATTTACTTCATATATGTTTATTTCATTATTTAGCTACTCTTTCATTCCATGTAAATAAACACAAATGTTGATGTACTAGAATGATTTTGCAAAGATTTGGTTGATTTCATAATTATTGTTATTGTGGTCATTACTCTTTATTTCATCGACCTATATTTATGGATACATTTCATAATTGTCCAGATGTTTTTCAATTAACATTACATATCGTAGTTGCACAGTCTAATTTAAAAATAACTTGTAAATCAGTTTGAGTTACTTGATATGTTCTAATAATGAAATTAAATACCGATTGAGATCATGTATCGATTAATGTTAGGCCATCATTGAAAACCTGGAAGCACTGAATGTCGGTTTCATCCTAGTATTAGACTCCTCCGTAGTTGGCATCTACGATCCCGCACACAGGATTCGAACACAGAACCCTAGGTGTCACACGCGAACCCTTAACCTTTAGACTTTATATATCTAAGTGTTCAAGGTGAACTATTGTATCAGATTTTTATAACTTTTGATTATTTGCAATAACTTTAATAAGTGATACAATTTCTACTATCAATTACTGTTTGTAGAAAGTTAATCACAAATACAACTGTTAGGCTTAAGTAAGAGAAATAATTGAAAATAGGATTTTCTCCACTAAACAATCTTTAATTGTTTTCAAATACAAATATTTAAAGTATATTCATATGTTGTCGTTAGTTATCTTCCAAGTCTTAACAGAGACATTTGGTCAGATTTGGAATACTTTGTTGTAGGAACTTCATTTCAAGACGTTTTGTCAAATTATTTTTGTCAATAAGAAACTTTAAGTTAGTTTCACTTAAGACTTAAAACTGAGTTTATTAGTACCATAGGTTACTAGCATACTGAGTATTTATTTCAGCCTTCCATGTTGTAACTTTTTAAAGTTTTGCAAGTATTAGAGACTGGAAAATATTGTTGTTTAGAGTAACTTATTGGTTTTAATAGATAACTTTCAAGCTCAAATATAGTAAACGACCGGAAATTTCGACAGTATATAAACGGATGCAAATTTTTTAAAATTATTTTACGTCAGGGTTCATAAACATAATAATTTGATTATAATAATGAAATGGTTCAGGTTATTTGTTTTTATCTGATTGTTGACTTCTCAACAAACGAATGATATTGACTTTAACGAAATATACATCCTATCTGCATCGTACGTAATCGTCGAAAAATATTCTTCATGACAAAAGTATAATATAGACGTATAATATAGACATTTAACAATGCAAGCAAACGATAAGTAATGAAAAGAACTGTTATGGTTTTATGTCCGGCTTTTATCATGTGAATTATCCACCAACCGAAACATGACTTTTCAAATCTTAGCACTGTTCCAAAACAATGATGTTCGACCGGTATGATCAACCTAGAGACCTTATTGGTCTTTTATCCGCCTAGTCCTTCCAGTTGAGTCCAGAACGCCAATTACAGCTTCTGTTATGCGGATCATTTATTTCAAGCATACTCGGTTTACATACCAGACCGCATCACACCATAAAATAGAAAATAATATTTGTACAAGATCAAGCCAAATGTGGCTGTGAATGTGTGATATAATAATCAATAATCTGATTATAATTTAGGGACAGTAATTCGCATAATATTAATTTATAGATCCAAATAAAGCTTACGTTAAGAGGGGTATAGATACATACAATCTAACTACTGAATAGTTATACAATAAAAATATATATCGAATAATAGTCCATTATTAAGTCCAGGAAGTTACCTGTACTTATGACATCACTAGGATATAACAAGAACTGTATATGAAATACGGTTAGTCACAACGTAGAACTTCGTACGTACGTACATCAGTTTGAGTTGCCATACCACATTAACACAGAGACGCAGTTGTCGATTCAAATCACATAGTGATAGAAGTAGTAAGAGTATAAGCAGTAATCCGAAAGATTAGGGTTTGAAGATGACAATAATCCAGTGAAATAAATTGGAAAAAAGAGAAAAAGATAGAGACATGAAGAGTTCAGAAGATTAGAATTTCGGAGAATACAAAGAGTGGATGCGCCTTCGCCATTGCAAACGATTTTGAGCCTTGTCATTCAAGGTCTCTAACCATCGATCGCCCTCATCTCGCGGATCCCAATCACGTAGTCTATTCTACCAACATGGCTCAGTTCATTTGTCAGTGACTTCATGGATTTGCGCCACGTTTTGATCTGGCCGCTCCTAGCTTTCTTCCGAACTACTCCTACACAATAAAACATTGCACGTCGGGGATGAACTACAGTAACAGAAATAATCCACTCACTAAGTAATCAACGTTTCAGTCTTTATCATCACATGAATGTATAACAATACCAAATATTACATGTTGATTCTATCTTTTAATATTTCAAATAAAGTTTTTCATTTAACTCATTTACTAATATTTGAATAAATTACATTTTATTAAAATTCATTCAAACAAACAAACAAAAATTCTTCTTATATATATATATATTAAGAATAATACAAACTTCCGGATAAACCAATTATCTTATATGAATAAAGATTTATTATAATTTAAACGAATAATTTAAGAGTAATTGTTTATTTTAACTGAATTTTGATTGGTGGAAAATGGATATATATATATATATGACATTATAAATCATAGTAACCATAGTAAAATATAATTATAATTATTTAAATTATTATTTATTGTAGAATACATTTATGAAATTATTTAATAATATATACTACTGACAATTATCATTCATTAGTAATATGAGTCATTTCAATATTACACAAACTAATTTCTATAATGAATCTATTGAATTAATACAATTATTACATTTAGTACGTACTATTTGTATGAAAGGATTAATACCTATCATTTGTATCATTGGTATATCAACGAATAGTTTAAATATACTTGTATTAACTAAATTAAGAATGCGTTCATTAACTAATAATTATTTACTTGCTGTAGCTGTATGTGATTTATTTTATGGTATAACATTATTATTACTTACATTAAGAACATATGATAAATTTGAAATATATACATCGTATATGTATTTATTACCATATATAATGGCATTTGGTAATTTATGTAGTAATACAGCATGTTGGTTAACATGTGCATTTACTGCTGAACGTTATATCGCTGTTTCATCACCAATTTTAGCACGTAAAATATGTACAAAAGAAAATTGTAAATGGATTATATTTATTATATGTTTATTTACATTTATTGTAACATTACCAGATTTTTTATCATATACTGTTAAATGGAGTGAAACATTTCAAACAAATGAGATTCGAACAATCAATGATGATTTTAATAATATTGAAGAGTTTACATTGAATGAAAATCAAACTCTTATTAATATTAATAATACTATTTATAATAGTAATAGTAATAGTAATAATAACACAATACATCAACAACTATCTATTCGTGGACCACATTATATATTAACGGAAACACAATTAGGTGAAATATTGAATCAAAATGGATGGCCTATTATTATTATAATATTAGTTGTTATAGGACCATTATTTATACTATCCGTATTTAATGGTCTTTTAATTAAATCTATTATAAAAGCTTCAAAAATTCGATTAAGAATGACTAAAAAAACAAATGAAGTAGTACTGCCAAAAATACGTTATGGTATTATATGTATTACTGAAAGTTTAACAAATTATACAAAAAATAATTCAGAACAAATAAATAATAATGAAAATCATGAATGTTATTCATTTAAAAATAATCATATGTCATGTAACTATAAAACTACTCAATTAAAACAACAACAACAACGATCATTTAAACGTAATATTGTTACTGGGGTAAAAATGAATGAAATGATCAATAACAATAATAAGGATAATAATAGAAAAGATCCATTAAAAATGGATGATCATGATAATTTACCAAGTATTACATATCGTTCATATAATTCATCACAAAAATTATTTACTATACATCAATCACGTAATTATTTTAATGAAAAAGATAGAATTACATTAATGTTAATTATAATTGTAGTAACATTTTGTATATTTACTATGCCAAGTGCAATATTACATTTAATTAAAGTAACTTATATAAATAATGATCAATCATCATCAATCCGTTTATATTTAGTTATAGCAGGTAATTTTGTTAATTTAAGTTTAGCTATTAATTCAACATTGAATTTCTTTTTTTATTCATGGTTAAGTAGACGTTTTCGTAAAACATTTTATAATTTAATTAAATGTCATTAAAATATACAAATATTATATAAAGAAGAAACCAGAATCAGAATGAAAACAAAAAAACTTTGAATAGTGTAAAAACAAGATAATCTTCGTATTATATTATTAAAATTTATCAAAGGGACTAATTGATTCAACAAACAGAAACATTGAAAGATTGATAGACACTTTAAGAGATCATTTAAGAACTTATCTAATATTTCTGTTATATTATTATTATTAGTTTGTTAAATGAATAATATTGTGAAAAAATAAGATGTATCATGGAAATCAGTACTATTTTCAATAAAGCTTTATATGATTTGATTTGTTTTTTATATGATTATAAGTAGTTTGTAATTTTTTTTTAGTTTTTTTTAAAAAAAATTTTCTGTCAGTCTAAATCAATATTAAAACCTCAGACATATATTCATTTAGAATGAAGTAGGCCAGATTTATTTAGCCAAAAGATTGTAAAGTACTACAATTAATAAAAGTATTAATGGTAATAGAAAAAAATTAGTCATCGGTTAAAAGATTTTCAAGACGAACACATGTTTGCGCGCGAGGCTGATTGGTCTTGGGATCGAATCTCACGAGGGAGGATCTCGGATGCGTACTGCTGAGGAGTTCCAAAATAGGACGAAACGGTCGTTCAGTGCTTCCAGGTTTTCTATAGCTTCAATTAACTCATGATCTCAGCTATATTAAATTACTAAAATTTCCACAAAATCCCCTTCTGAAAATATGAATTAGTGTAATGAAAATAGTCTTATAAGATAATTTAGAATTTCAGGATTCAAAGCAAAACAAAGTATGAATGCATTCTCTCCATTGACTTGTGTCATACGGAGTCTTCAAGAAACAATCTTGGTTACTTTATGGAACCCAATAAGGTAGTCTGCACCTACCTATATGGTTCAGTCCCAGTGTCAGTGACCTCAAAAGCTACTGACAAGTCTTAGTTTGACCACCTTTTGCTTTCTTGCTATCTACTTCCATATAAGGAAACATAGCCTATCAACATAAGTGATTGGTGGGCATATACAAAGCATGGTCTAACCATCCTAGTCAATACAAATTCATCAACTCATTAATGTATTTCCCAATCTTCAATCATACCCTGCATCTAACCTCATAATCGTAAAATTTGATATTCCTTGCATACACAAGCAATGCTTCAAAAGCATCTATGGCAGAAAACTAGTAATCTACGAATATCATTAATTTTAAAAGGCCAGGTTTCATAGACGGAAGGTAGAAGCGAGCTGACCGTTGTACAGTAAACTAGACAGATATCTCACCTACGCTAAAAGTAAATGAACTCCGGAAAAGTCAGCTAAGCTTTCTGAATTCATGCCGGGATTCCGTCATACACATACTTAGTTTATATAAAGATGTGATACAAGGGGTACATGAAGTAGTTGGGTTGTTCAAATGAATAAATTAGATAATAGAGCTGATAGCAGTGTGTATTCATATTAAAAGGTGTATGAATGCGAATATTTTGTTGCTCATTACGGCAGTGAGTTTTCTCTCTATATATTTCTTAAAAAAAATCTTGGGCGATATTAGTTACTTTTGAAGGGTATAGGAAGATATTAATCTCATCTTCTTACGTAATATGTTAGATCAAACACGATAGAACGTAGTGTGAACCAAGGCGTTAACGAAATTGTTTTGTATAGAGTTGTATGCTACAATGGTTAATATACAAACAGAAAAATTAGTAAAAGTGTGTGTATGTTGAATTAGTTTAAATATATAAATCAGAAGAAAACATTGATGAGTGCTGAATAGGACAAAACGCGTGTCCTAGATTCCACTGCTAACCACTATTCATCTTTCTTTATACAACAAACACTTTTAATCTGTGGTAAATTCGATTGTTTATTATTGTTATTAACAGTACTTCCGCCTAGTGAATGAAACAAAAGAATCACATATACTCACGTTATTTATATTGAATGTCAATCAATTAGATTTTATAGCATGTAATAATTATATAGTAGATACGATGAATATTTATTTAAGCATTTTGCTGACTTAATCGTACAATTCAATTAACTCGTCTAATATAAAATTTTATTTTTAAATGATAATTATCTTTTATCCGAAAGGGGTGTTTTGGAGATTATAGTAATTTAATAGTTGAAATCATGAATCAACTAAAGCTAAACGACCATGAAAAACCTAGAAGCACTGGACGACCGTTTCGTCCTAGTGTGCTACTCCTCGGCACTGGGCATCCGTAAATCAATTAACTCATCTAATATAAAATTTAAAATTTCATTTATAAATGATAATTATCTTTTAAACATGCTTATAATCATCCCGAATAGACAAAAATGTTATTGTATTAGAAGTGCATTGGCGCGAAATTGGTAGGTCCTGAGATCGAATCTAGCGAGGCGGGATCGCGGGTGCGCACCGCTGAGGAGTCCCATCTTAGGACGAAGCGGCCGTCTAGTGCTTCCAGGTTTTCCATGGTGGTCTAGCTTCAATTGACTCATGATTTCAACTATGAAAAATAATCCATTGTGTTGCTGAATAAAAAAAATACGGAGAACTTAATAAAGAAAATTTTATTTTCTATGAAATCATTTACGTAAGTTATACATTTGTATTTATAGTTATTTGGTAAATATATATGTTTATAGAAAGATAGAAAAGATTCTTTCATAAAGTGATTCTAATAACGTTGCATAATGATCAAATGGTTAGAGAAAAATAGGACGATGAGAATAATTTACGGGTCAGAATTATGGAAGTTAACTGTCGGCTAGACAGATATGAAGAAAAACGAAAAACATAAAGTTCATAATAATAACTGATTACAGTTTAAAATCATAAGACACTAATAAGAACAAAACAAGACCGAAACATACCACAGAGCAGAACTAAGGCCAAGCAAGTATAATAGGTTGGACCTATCATTTTTAAAAGCGTAGTGTGGGCCCAAATTAAGGTTACCTTGAATAATTTATAATTTGTATGGTTTATTCAAAATTCATCAAAACTAGACTCTGAATAGATTGGAAGATATTATTCATGTTTCTTCTTAAATAAAGCAGATGTTTGTTGAAGCTAGCTTTTATGATAAACAGCTCAATTATTTCCGCAAATCAAGGATTAGTTGATGGATATCTTCTCGTTAGTTCGGACTCATAAATAGTACAGATTGATACCCATGCTGAAGATTAATCAATCGGCAATTAGGTCTGACGACACCTTCCATGTATTTAGACCATACTGCTATAATAAAGTTTTCAAACATATCGGAGCTGAAGGAAATATTATCGACAGTATTAGATTATTACCACACACTAAATAAACTGAATGCATTCATGGGTTCCATATCGTTGAAGTGTGTGAAGTGTCCAGAATTAAGGTGCTTGGAACGATTTATGAGTGTCTTGGACTCAACTCCATGATATGTTGTGAATATGCTTTGCTGAGGAATCCAATGGAAGAGCAAAATACTATTTCTGTTCACTCTGGTTATAACTAATCACTAATGAATTTCCACCTTGGGATGAAAACTAACTCTGGATTTAAAAGTTCACATAAACTCTCCTTATTAGGCCATCATTTATTTGATACGTTAGGATCAATTTTATGTAAATGTCTTTGGTCAATTTCCCAGTTAAAATATTTTATTAAATCAGATAATTATGATCATTTGGTGTAAAACTGTCGACTAGGCTTTAATTTAAAGTGCAGTAGATTACTGAGAAAAATTATAAGGACCCTTCGAAATACAAGTTATTGTGAAATAAACAATGTTTCAAGTGACTTTCCATAGATTAAAAACTTAAACAAGTCAAGAAAATCTGTTAGTCAGTAATAACAGTGAAGTGAATTAAATAATCGATCACTCTAAATAATCAGAAATTGACAGTTTGGTGACATGAGTACTAGGAATGACGAAAGTTTCAATATAGGGGATTAGTTGTAAACTTCTGAAAATAAACAATAAAATAACAAACATTAGAAATTATTAAGATTATGTAATAAGAATTATGTAAATAACCAGTGTAATTATGCATGTATAGTGAAGAAGAGTTATTAAAGGAGATGAAAAAGTACCAATAAACAAAAATATTAAATCCATCGAGGCAGTTTATAAGTCAATCATCGTAACTGAAGGATTACATAACGAATCACAATAAGCAAAACGTAGAAATTGGTGGTAAGTTGACATAAATCACTTTGTTCAGGTTATTATTTTCTTTATACAGGAATATTAATATTACTACTGTATATTCGAATACACCATAATAAGATTGGAGGCTGTAGTTAAAAGAATGAATTGGAAAAGATACCCCAGAACCAAATAGGTCAGAGATTCCTGGTTGGTAGCATATGCTCCAAGAAGAATAACAGGCTCAAATAGTAATAATAACAATAGTAAAAACGATAATAATAAAGATTTAATTAATTGCAAAAAATTGATTATGTACAGTTAAATTTATATCGCAAATATTTACATGATCATGGATTGCACTTTATGTAAACTATTCTCATTCGTTAGTGAGTTGTTGTTACCTTCAGTGGTTTGGTTTCAATGGTTTTGTGGTGATTTTGATCCCTACCATTGTAGTATTTTTTCATCTTTAAGTTACCAGAACGTAACCAATTTCTTCACCAGTTCTTATGCTTGAATATCTGGGCTACCTGTTCTTGCAATCTAGATATTCCAACAAGTTATCTGTATCCTTCTTTGTTTTAACAGATCGTTATGTCAATTAGTTACATAACCTATTCAAGTGCGTTTTTGAAAACTTTACGACCTTTCGCTGTACAAGTTAGGAAAATGTACGGTCAGAGACATCGTGATGGCTAGAAATATGAATAAATATTATTCAGATGTTGACTTTTGAAATGCTAATATGTAAATGGCGATTACTCAATATTTCTCGTCAATATCGATCAAGAAATAAGAAACAAAAACTCGCTGAAATATTTTGTGCTCAGAATTCTAGATTGTACCAAGAATATAATCTTGAATAAAGCTAATAATAGATAAAATAAAATATCACTCATCACACGTTCCTAAATGAGACTAGTAGATGTACTCTTTTGATTACTTCTGACCATTGTGTAATTTTTGTTCTGACCAAAGAATACGATCAGTTTCCAATGAATAGATATTTTGATCAGACGAAGAGGGTCAAATATCAAAGTAGCTGAGAGGAAAATACCCAAGATCTGGAAAAACATGTTTCGAAAAGAAGGTGGAATTTATTTACAAGTGGTTCAATGGAAAACACTCCACATGTTTATTATTGAAATCTAACGATCTAACAAAACCCCTATGCTAACAAAAATCAGATACTAGTGATTAGTTTGAGGATGGGATTTCTGAGGTTTTAGTCATAAGATGTGATCAGTACAATCCAACCATCTCAAATGTGAAATAATTATACACCACAGTCAATAAGAGATTGTCTTACGATATCAAGGATTGACTAAATTTGATAAATACACTACTGAGTTTCGTCCTAGTGATGTAGAGTTCAAGCACTTGGGCGTGGAACTGAAGGTCCTGTGTTCTATTCCAAGTAGTAGGTTACAATTGAGTCATATAATAGAATAAGAAAGCTGTTCAATACTTACTAGTTTTCGATAGTTGTTTAATTATTACCAGTTTGTGATTTAAACTACTAAAAACATTCTTGTTTTACGTTCACTGGATTTTTTTGTAATTCACAAAATGTCAAAATTCAATTTTAAGAAACTAATACGAATTACATGTAAGATTTGGCAAGTAAGTAAAACAAAAGATGTTACTGTTGCCATCAAAATTATAAGTCAGAGTGAAAACATTTGACTATGTTCTTTTGCACATAAAAAAATTATTAAAAAAACCCTGACATTCTCTCTAGTTGTAATCTTTATAGTTCAGGTCTTTTAAGCTTGTCACTCCTTTGTTGTTGTAGATTCATAAAACATTATATAAAAACAAAACGATGTTAAGAGAATTACACTAAATGATATCCAGACTAGACAGCTATCATTCATCTGGAGATGTAAGTATAGACGATCCTCGAAACAATAAATAGTAACCTTTTGATTTTGCCCACAGAACTATCTGTTGAAATTTAGTGTCTGTAAATTTTTAAAAAAAAAATTTTACAATATTTTTGTTTTGTTTTATTGACATCCACTTGTAATTGGCAATTGTTTAAATTCTTTATTTCTCGAAAGCCAATAGAGGGATTAGGTCTTTTGCGTTTGAATGACATTATTTTTCAGGTTGCTTAAGTGTCTTTACAATAGATTTAACTAAAAATTATGAAAAAATAATTAAAATTTCATGCCAGGTAAAATCATGTATCGATTAAAGATTAGTAGTGAGTACTGGTGTTATCATTAGATAAGAAGTTTCGATGGGAGACTAGATGAATAAATTCATCCATTTTAATGAATTAGATATCATCGCTTTACTTGTCTGATGTAAAATAAGTAAAAAAGAGAATCTGAAATTTGAACAGAAAATGATGTTAAAATATATGGATTAGGTAGTATGGAAACTGACAATGATCAAAATAAAAAAGGGAGCTGCTCAGGAAGTTTTGTTGTGCCGCGCTTCGGTAATTGTTCATTTCGATAACCGTTATAATTCTAATCTTAACGGTGCGTAAAATGAGAAGACAAAGGGAAGCAGCAACTGCAGTTTATTGTCGAATAGCTCAGGTCAGAAAGCTAACAACACCTGAGCGAATATCAACGGGCGAACGTGCAGCGAGCGAGCAAGTGAATAGTCGAACAAACGAAGTGAACAGCAAGCAATTACATAGGCAATTTGTAGTCAGATTTAATGAGGGCATAGCAAAACAAAACAAAGGCTGATAATAGTATTTGCGTGCACACATATATGGGGAGGAGTATGAGTCATCAAATGATATTTAAGCAGTCAACATTTTGGTTAGAGTGTCATGTGCTCTAGTGGTATAACAGTGCAAAGAATATGCAAATTGTTATTGTTCGAATGACGATGTCTGTTAAGTAAGTTAATAAAAAGGGCTTAACCAAAATTGACTATAATCCAGATTGATTGTAGGATGGTTGCTATAGTTTTTTTATTTATCATTATTATGACCATCACAATTAGTTGTTTAGAGGTAACATTTAGTGGATGTACAGCTTAGTAACATAAAACTGTAGTTCCTATAACATACGTAATTTTAAAGCATTCAAGGTATGTATATGATAACAGAGCGTTGTTGGAAAACAGGAAAGATTGTTTGGTGGGCAAACTTCGAGATCAACAGGCTGGATTCCTTAAGGACTGATAGTGCACTGACCGAATCACAACACTACGTATCACTGTTGTGCAATCTGTTAAATGGAATTCTTCAATATACATAAATTTTCTTCATCAAGGGAGACTATTCAGCACCATGGATGAGAAAAACCTACGAAACCTCCTTTGACACCATGATGCACTTGAGAAGATCTTCAACGTCATAGAGAATTCATGTGACGAAATATATTCCAATATCATGCACTGAGGATAGCTAACGGATTCATCACATGTGAAAATCGCTGTCAGACAAGGATGCGACTCTCCCCCCTCTTTCTATTTCTTCTGGTGGTTGACTGTATTATGAAGAACTCTACATTTCAGGAGAAGAACGGAATAAAATACATCGCTTGGATGAGACTAGACGATTTGAACTTCACATATGATCTCACTCTTCTATCTCATACACAGCTGCAAATGCGGGTCCAGACAAACAGTATATCAGCAGCGTCTGAAACAGTGGGCCTCAATATACACAAAGGAAAAACCAAGGTTCTGAAATAGAACACAGAGGGCACCAACCCATTCTCATTTCATGAAAAAGTTTTGAGTACATGGAAACTTATACATACATACATGGACAGTATCATCAATAAACAAGAAGGATCTGATTCATATGTAAAGATATGGATTGACAAAGTAAGGGCAACATTTCTACAAATGTAAAATATCTGGAACTCAAAACAACTGTCTGTCAGCCAGGTTCTCAGTCAGAATCCTCAATACAAACGTCAAGACAGTTTTATTATACGGAGATGAAACTAGGAGAAATATTACAACCATTATCAAGAAAGTGTAGGTTTTTATAAACAATTGTCTACACAAGGTACTCAATGTCCGTTGACCGGATACTATCAGCAACAACCCACTGTGTAAGAAAACGAAAGAGCATTTAACTGAAGAGGGAAATAGGAAAAGATATTTGAGGTGGGTACGATATACATTACGGAATATATCAGACTACATCATGAGACAAGTGTTAACTTGGAATCCTGAAGGCGAAAGAAAAGAGTCAGGTCAAAGAACATATTATAAAGGAAACCATTTACAGATATCAAATAAATAAATAATACTTGGAAACAACTGAAAAAGACAGCCTCGTGCAGAGTTGGCTGAAGAATCTTGGTCTATGAACTCTTTTCCAATAAACCCGTAAACTCACAAAAACACCATGTTGTATTTTTACTATAATTCAAAAAAAGGAATGTAACACAATTTCAAGTAGTCGTTTCCAGAAAAAATACAAAAATATTTGCATACAATTTTATTTTTAACTATTCAGACAATCCTGAGAACTCAGAACTTGACAACAAAAAAACACAACGTTCTTCCTTAGTTAAATTATTGTGAATGATCATTCTTAGGAAATGATATTTATTATACTTTTGATTCAGTTATATGAAGGATTACGTATTATAACATATTAAAAAACTTTATTAGTTATGCAAATAAGCCCTAGTATTTGTGAATAACTAGTTTCGTTATAAAATTTCATCGTTATAATCGTTTATTTTCTAACTCTTTAATTTGAAGGGGTTTTGTGGAGATTTAGTATTTTCATAGTTGAAAGAATGAGTCATATGCTCACCAGTGGCTGACTTCAAGAGATAATTCCTGGAGTTCTAGTGAGAAGCAGCGACCAGTGGAGTTCAAACCACGTCTGTTGTGAGATATGAACTCACTTAAGACAATTGGTGAACGGTTGCTCAAATTCATGGATAGGTTGAAGTTAGACATTAACACCATCGGATGCCATCTCAGTGGTCTATCGGTTGTCCAGTGCTTCTTTAATTTGAAATAAATATGATGGGTTTCTTTTTTTCCATAATTCTGTAATGACTTATAATTTATTGAACAAAATTAAGAAAGTACAGTATTAGAGGTTGTGTTCATTGTTCCTATACAAGGTTCAATTTTGTGATTATTAAAAGTCATAGGTATAGACTATACTTATATTTTATCTTACGTTTGACGAGGTCTCATTTAATTTAGAAAATATACTTTCGAAAAGTGTTATATCTAGAGCTTAGATCCTTGATATACAGCGTATAACTTGAACACTAGAATGCTAGAATCCTCAAAGTTGCTTATGAGAAGACAAGACGAGTGAGAAGGAATGTTCTTCCAAACAGTGTCAAATATGGTATAAAACTGTCAGGTATTTATAATTTTTAGTAAAAGTGATATCATCATTATAGTCATTCAATCTGCATACAATGTTTTTTAGTATTTGTTTAATAGGGAAGTTATACGTCGAGATCTTGGAATGTTCTTCTAGAATATGATTGGATGGAATATCTTCGGCTCTTTATGAGTTTCTTAGAGCTTTCTCGAGTTCACCCGTGGGTTGTCCTCACAAGAAGACTATTATTTATTTTGTTTCTATAAGTAAACAAGTGAATTTATTCTAATTTGTACATTTATTTACATTACATTCAGAGTACAGTGAATTATTTTACTAACCATTAACGAAATACTCAAATTTTGATTATGATTTTTAACATACACATGATATAATGTATACTTTAATGTAAAAAACTTAACACGTTATTGTTGGTGGCATTACTTCAAATATGATAACTTATTACATATGATTATTATGGTAAACATCCTTTCTCATTTTATAGTTTCAGTGAATCTATCCCAAATAATTCCTTTATTAAATAAATACACATATATCGATTTTTATCAGAGAGAGGTTTTGTGGAGGTTTTAGTAGTTTCTTTTTATAGATGGAATCATGAGTTAGTTGAAGCTAGACCACTATGGAAAACCTAGAAGCACTGGACGGCCGTTTCGTCCAATTGCGGGATTCCTCAGCGGTGCGCATCCACAATTCCGCATCGAGAAATTCAAACCCAGGACTTATAAGTCTCGCGTGCGAGTGTTTAACTGGGTCTGTTGTGAGGTAGTAATTCACTGAAGACAATGATGGATGGTTGCTCAATTTTGTGGATTGTTTGAAGTTAAAACCGTTGGATGCCTACCGGCTCAGTGGTCTAGAGGTTAAGCTCTCGTGAGCAAGACTGATAGGTCCTGGTTACAAATCTCGCTAGGCGAGATCGTGAATGCGCATTGCTGAGGAGTCCCACACTGGGACGAAACGGTCGTTCAGTGCTTCCAGGTTTTCGATGGTGGTCTAGCTTAAATTTACTCGCAATTTCAATTATATATCGATTTATTTATTCTGTAATTTTCAAAAACTAAAATCTATGTAATGTGTATAAATATGAGAATTTACTTAAAAAGTATAACTTAAATGTTGGTTTTATTTCAAAGAAATATTTTGGAAAATTCAAACGCCGAATCTGATCAAAACTTCAGCTCATATTCTAAAATTAGGCGATATATAATATATTCTGAAAACAATTACAGAATTCACGCCAGTTTATAGACATGATCAAATTGATACACATAGTAACATTAAATATAGAGAACAAATATGTTATATAAGATTGATCTAAGTTTGCTAGTCCAGTAATTGTTTAGGTAATACATTTATAACATGTATTACAGCAATTCAATGCATCAACAGGGAACTTTATGACCGGTGTTATTTAAGGTTATTTCCTGTGCCAGAACGAATTAATGATAATTATCTACAACTAGAGGAAGTAAAATGAAAACAGAGAGCACGGAACAACAAAACAATGATTACCAAAATATGTCAGTCAGGTCTAACACTGTTGATGTTAGATATTATTCAGATAAGTTAAGGTTGCTAGGGACAGTGTCAACGTAAAGTGACATCAAGTAAGGTAATTCATTAATAAAAATGGCTAATGATTTAAAGTTCCGATAATCTCACTTGTGGAGGAAAAACACACTTATAGGTTCTAGAAAATTTAATACATTTACAGGGGAGCAGTATGCATCAATGCAGCGAACAAAGAGTGAGAGTGATTTTATCATACGAATAGATTGTGGTAGATTATTCCAGGGTCTAGAAAGTTTACAGGTAAAGTTATTTATATAGGGAGATAATTTAGAATGTGTTCGTTTCGCTAGTGACAAGCAGTTACGTATGTCGTAATGAGAAGTTTCTGAATATTGAATTACTTGGTTGGATGTGAAGGATAAGTTAATAATTATTTTGAAGAAAAAGATAAGATTTAGTTTAAGTCTCCTCTTCCATAAAGGGTCGAGCCCAAGTTTATTACATCTAAACTTATAAGTCAAGGTACAAACATTTCCAAGAATACGAAATGTAAATCATCTCTGTATTGATTCCAGCCTTAATTTATTTTCGATACGCGCGCTACTAAGAATAAACGTGCAGTATTCTAGGAATGGTCGAACATAAACATTATACATTAAAATACGTGATTGCTAAAAAGGTTTCGAGTTCTGTAACCCATAAGACGTTGAGACTTGGAAGTCTGTTTCAATATCTGTTCTGTAAACGACGAGTCGTAGCAGTATCTACGTCTACTACTGTATTCAACCTAGATAACACTTAACCATTTATGGTAAGTGATAAGTCTTGCTAATTAAACGCTCTACTTGGATCCTAAGGTGGTCTCATAACCCTCTAGCTAAATCTACATAGCGACTTGAATACTAGACGAAAGACGCAAAATATGCGAGAAAGCACTTTACTCCAAAGGTTCATTTATGCACAGAAAATATAAGGTTTTTATAGTATTTTAGAAGTCCTTGGATTTTCCTGAAAATTCTGGAATGCTACTAAACATAATTGCAATGTAGTAATCAACCAATCAGAAAGTCTACATGTAGCTTTTCACTTTCGTGATGTTTCTAGCAAAACTTCTAGTCAAACGCTGATTAAATAAAATGCTTTTTAATGTTACCTGAGCCTTTCTTGTCTATTGTGAGAAATTTTCTGGATCACCCCAACAGTAAGATCTAAGTTGAATGATGTATTACAGAAGCATATCCATCCATATTTTGCCGTATTAAGCTCCAGCTGCCATTCACAGCATCACTGTGCTACCTTGTTAAGCTCATGTGGAGAAAATGAATACACTACTTTAAGAACATCTGCGTACAAAAGGGGTTCACCTGCAGAAGACACTCACAAATATCATTAATAAACACCAAAAAGAGCAAAGACGCTACCATGTGTTACACCACTTCTAACGGATACAGCGTTCGACAATGAAGAGTTAATTTTAACTATCTGATGTAGTAATGGCTATGACTTGAATAAACTGTAATGCTAGTGGGACCTGAGATTTCTGAAGGCCAATAAATCGTTATTTTTATAATGTGGATTACTTTGTTGAACTTGACTTGGTGAACAGTTAAGACAGTCTTATTATTATTTTTGATTATGTAATTCATTCCACTGTTATCATTGATTCACAAACTGCCTTGATTGGTTTAATAATTTCGTATATGCATATAAATATTACTATTATTATTATTATTATTAGAGTAAAGCCTGGTGAGGATCTAATCGAAAACAATATTGTTCGCTTATATATGTTGTTCTAAATCACAATATGGGAATTTTTCAAATGTATATTTTTGTTTGGTAGGGCCATCGTAATATTTTTGGTATTAGGTCTGGAACCAGAAGGTTTTGTATGTACTTTCTTCTTATGTGGTATAGACTTTGTAACATTAACAGTGTTTTTAAGTGACTTCACATCAGATTTAGGTTTTTTGTTACGAGCTTATAATGTTATACTGGAAAATATCGGATTAGGGTCTCCATTAGATTTACATTGGTTATCTGAGGTCACTACAGGCATGAGGCAAATTAAATCGGTGTACTGGCTAACATGAGATTTAGGCCTATAATTTTATACAAGAATTTACGACATTTATATTTCGATAGCAATCTTCCTACGATATAATTGGAGCCAGATATTTCGGGGCCACTAAAGATAAACAAAGAACAGAATAGGTTCGATAGAGAATAATGAATACTAGAGAGCTACAATTATGTCTGTAAATTTTTATTTTGATTCAGTTACAGATTTAAGGATCATATAATAACAATCGAGTCTAATTTATCACTTTTGCAAATGATTATTTTCCATGGAAATTTTGATTTCAATAGCATCTACGCTCATTTTTCTGTTGTTTCGTCTTTGGATTATAAATACTAACTTAAAATGTAGTTATCCTATTACAATATCAGACAATTTTTTTGTAAAATATTGAATTTAACAACTGTGAAATTATCAGACTAGAAACCGATGGAAACATATTTTATGATGGTGAAATATTAGCATGAGTTTTGAACATCATAGCAGTTTTTAGATGGGCTGAATTAACCATATACCTTAGCTCGAAAGTCCTAAGGAGAGTTCAAGTTATCTAGTTTACTTTTTCTTATTACATTTTAGTTCTTTCTCTAAAGGATAACCTTAATAACACTTTCCTAACTCAAATTTTCTCAACAACAGTGACTGATCTGATTGGTTATTACTACTCTCAGTTTTCTACGTTACGTATCCCAAAGTCATGGCATGTTAATATAAAAAACAACGTAGTTTATTTTCAGTTCTTTTGTTTCTGTACAAAAGATAAAGTTATTCTGAAATTTCAGTCTTTTCTATCTTTATTATTTACTTACTTAATCCCGTTACCCTTATATGAGTATAGGCTGCCTACCAGAAATCTCCAACCAATTCTGTCCTGAGTTCATTTATTCAATTGTCGGTAAATATGATTTACCGTAATCCAACCGGAAACCCCAGTACTTTAACCGATAATAGGTACTAATCAATGTAAAATTTACAAACAAATAAAACTACCTAAGCTTTTAAGTGTCATTAGTTAAGAGGTGATACAAATTAGTACACTTAAGACAAGTCTAACAGATTTTATGTGTTAATGTCTAAAATTATTAGCAATATGAAATTAACTTTATTTATAAAAATTTCCTGACTCATATAGAGAAGCATAATTAAGTATAATGTTTAGACCAATACAATTATCAGCTAAACTGATATATACCCGTATCCTTGAGAGAAAATGGTAATATAAATGACGTGTACTCGCAAAACAAGGGATCGTAAAAGAATTTTTCATAAAGTGGTTAAAAGTCAGTCATTTGAACTGTAATAAGCAAACTTTTCCATGTCACTTTATATTTTCAATAAAGTCTGAAAACAATCTAAATATCGAAACAATTGTATTTCTGAATGTCTTAAAAACCAGGTCAAAGAATGATCATCCGTATTTTAAAATCTAGGAATTAGAGAACAATTCACATTCATTGAGTCCAGATTGTTAAGACTATTCACTTTCAGAAACAGTTTATATATACTTCAAAAGTATTTGATATAACAAATCGCTAAACATGTGTTTCATCCTTATTTTAAAGTTATCAACAATTTGTATTCATACCTTTACATAACATCTTGTCAAACGAGAAGGATGAAGAAGTATGTTCTACATACTAGTCATGTTATTAAACTTTTTCTATGGAAGATATAGACAGAAAACGTCCACTAATGTCACACGTATATAATGTATTGTTTCATATCATATTTACTTGGTTCCTTTTTATAATATTTGACTGTTTGG